AACATTCAATGATATAGTTTCTATATTATTTGAATGTTATATTAAACTGTTTTACTTTACGCCACAATTACGCATGTTATTATAATTATAGTTATAAGTATAAGTAGGTTATAAGTTAGATTTATAATTAAGTTACTAGCGGAAATTAAAACAGTTTAATATTTTGTTACATTAAACACCTTAAATATAAACATTCAATGATATAGTTTCTATATTATTTGAATGTTATATTAAACTGTTTTACTTTACGCCACAATTACGCATGTTATTATAATTATAGTTATAAGTATAAGTAGGTTATAAGTTAGATTTATAATTAAGTTACTAGCGGAAATTAAAACAGTTTAATATTTTGTTACATTAAACACCTTAAATATAAACATTCAATGATATAGTTTCTATATTATTTGAATGTTATATTAAACTGTTTTACTTTACGCCACAATTACGCATGTTATTATAATTATAGTTATAAGTATAAGTAGGTTATAAGTTAGATTTATAATTAAGTTACTAGCGGAAATTAAAACAGTTTAATATTTTGTTACATTAAACACCTTAAATATAAACATTCAATGATATAGTTTCTATATTATTTGAATGTTATATTAAACTGTTTTACTTTACGCCACAATTACGCATGTTATTATAATTATAGTTATAAGTATAAGTAGGTTATAAGTTAGATTTATAATTAAGTTACTAGCGGAAATTAAAACAGTTTAATATTTTGTCACATTAAACACCTAAAATATAAACATTCAATGATATAGTTTCTATATTATTTGAATGTTATATTAAACTGTTTTACTTTCACAAATACGGCGCATGTTTTTTTATAGTTATAAGTATAAGTAGGTTATAAGTTAGATTTATAATTAAGTTACTAGCGGAAATTACAACAGTTTAATATTTTGTCACATTAAACACCTTAAATATAAACATTTAACGATATAGTTTCTATATTATTTGAATGATATATTAAACTGTTTTATTTTTTGTTCAAATTGCGCATGTTACTATATTTATAAAAATAAATATATTATTACCTAGAGTAAGTTATAATTAAGTGAACAAAGGAAATTAATACAGTTTAATAATATTCTAATACAATTGAATACATAAAATACCAACACTCGGTAATATAGATTCTATATTATCTGAATGTTATATTAAACTGTTTTACTTTGACCATGGTTACGCATGTTATTATATTATTTAAGTAGGTTATAAGATAGATTTATAATTAAGTTTGGGAAATTGAAACAGTTTAATTTTTTATACCCTTTTTATCCCCCAGGAGTAGGCAGAAAGTTAGGGATAGGCAGAAAGTTAGGTATAGGCACGGCTGTTCTACTACTTGGGGGTTACCAACATTAATAATTTTAGTCATTATATTTTTTTACAACATTATTAAACTTTTTTACTTTCCTCTCAATCAGCAAATTATAATTTTTAGATTTTATAAATTGCTGGTTTATTTTTTATCTTCATTAGATTATTCTGTAATTTGGTAGATATTATATGCACGACCGATATTATACAATAACTTGTCTGTTCGTTTATTAATTTTGACACGTGTATAACGGATCTTAGGTCGAATTTGATTTGTAATTGGATACTAGGTACGACAAACAGGTTATTGTTACTGATCTTTACCCATTTTATTAAAAAAAAACATTTTTAGATAAAATTATTGTAGTTTTTAGAAAAAAAAAATATTACACAAGGGTTTATATCTTTTCTGACAAGGAAAGGTATGTACTCTTGTAAGCAAAGAGGGTAATTGCTTTTTATTGGTTTTCTAAACTGACAGTTGTCAATCTTCAGTCACCACTTTTATTGTGTTTTTATTTAAACTAACTTCTGGTCGCGACTATGATGGCGTTCGTAGGATAAAAATTAGCCCATATTGTATTATCCCAGACTACAATCTTTTTCTGTACCAAAGTCATCCAGATTCGTTCAGTAGTTTTATGTGTAGTAGTGACAAACATACAACATACTTAAATTCACACCCACTTTTGCATTTATAATTGAATTTATTTCTGAACGAAGATTTAAATTATTTATATTTGGTTCTTCCGTGAGTATTTTATTACTCTCACATAAATAATTATCGTTTGATATTAAATATCAAATTTTATTGAATGCTGTTTCTTAATTTTTTTACCTTAATGAATTCAATTATTAGATTGGTATAGAACACTTACGAGTGTTTGCTTTGTGTACCTACCTATCTAATTTCAAAGTGGATTAGGCCTTCTGGGGATACCACTATAAAAAAAACGCACCTTCTGCTTTACCTCATGGGTGGTGTGGAAAAAGGCAGGTAAAATATATGAAGTTTGGTCAATAATAATTAACCACAATCGGGTACTTTCCTTAGTCAAAAATAAATTACTTCGACTGTTCAATATAATAAACTTTTAAAAAATAATCACCCTTTCATTTATTGATTTTATTACCAACTTAATAAGTTAGTTGGTAATAAGTACTTAAGCTGCTTTACGCTAAAAAAACGTGACGTCACAATACACAATCCTGTACAAAATTCAAAACTGTCGTTTTGACAGTTTAAAAAGTTTTGATTGATAGAAGTTGGTTAAATCACAAATTATAATAATAGATGTTCAACTTCCATTATTATATAACAAATATATGAAGTTAAATATGTAGTAGAAAATTCGGGACTCGGGACTCCGGTCCAGCACCTGCAGTGTCGCCCCTATACTTATTATACTCTTTGGTGTCAACCAGTGTCAACACAACAATGCCAAACGTCTGTGATAAACACTGGTGATAAATTTTTTAAATTTTATTATTTTATAATAAAGTTTTGCTAGGTCAGATTAAAACATTAGTAGGTATTTAATGCATAATGAAAAAAGGCAGTTTTAATTTTGTAGTTTTACTCAAAATTTTGCTTCTTTATTTCGTTCTGGCAACATAGCAATATTTTAACCAAAGACAATCTGTAAAATAATCATTCATTCATTTTTTAAATTATTTTTTGCATTTTTTTGTCAGTTCAGTTGATTTTGTTTGACATTTGGCATTTCCTGCGTGAGCTTCGTTGCGTGAAGTCGGTATTGACGACACCTCTGTGGAAAAATTGTTGTTCAACAATATGGCTGCCATCTGGTACATGTTCGTACGAGGAAGATTATTTGAGCGATTGCATCAAAGAAGGCCAAGAAATCAACGTAAGCGTTTTTAAACAATTTTCTAATCTTCAAATCTCCGTGTAAAGAATATTTGTCTTATCGTGATTTGTTTCTAGGTTACGTCGGTGCAGCTTAGGCGCATTATTGGAAGGTTCTGGAATATAACCATGATGGATGCACGACGCAAGATGAGTTTCCCGTTCGGATGAATTCATGGCGCCCAAGCCCCTGATGACAATGAAACCTGGGTAGACAGCTGCATTATGCAGTAAAGGTATAAAATATGGTCCCAATAGAACAAAGCGTAACTGACATGTTTCAGTTTAACTTTGTTCACCCGTTTTTAATGCATTTCAATCGTCCAGCTTTTGTCGATTTCCTTCTAAACTGTCATGGGTGTACATACCTAGTTCGATTTATTCGATATTTAACTTTATTTGCTTACACCAAAGCTTTGAAGTAGTCTGGACTTTTACAATGCATTAGCGGAACTTTGTTCCGTGCTATTTCATTAGAATAAGGTTAACGTAGGGTAGTAGGTTTATGCCATCTCAGCAAGTTTTGTCAAGGACAAAATATCAGGTAAAAGGTAAACTGTTAAAGTGGCAACAATGAAACAAAATGGCGGTTCGAATCCTCCATGACGCTGTTAGTGGACTAGGCCTACTGGGGATACCACTTTAAAAAAAACGCACCTTGTGCTCTACCTCTAGGGTGGTGTGGAAACGGGCACCGTCTGAATAATGCTTTAGAAACTACGTGATCTCGTCAAAGGTAAGAAGGGTAAGACAAAAAAATTGTGCTAATAAAACAGTGTAGGTAGATTTCGTAAATTTATTTCTAGAACTGTTTTGTCTTTCACTTTGTCATTGTCCGGAGTGGCAATAGACTTGATAACTTCTCTGGACTCTGGTGTAGGGGGCATCCATAGGCGACACTGATCTTACCAATGATTGTATGTATGTTCGTTTGCCCTAAAGCCTAGAAAAGCCTTTTATAAGATTATTGCAAGTACCTACGTTTACCCTGATTTTATTAATCTATTGGTACAAATAAAATATATAGGTCATAAGTTAACATTCTTGCGACTAGGTACAGCCATTAAATTCATTGTCTTTACTTTCTATTTACTTATAATAAATAATGATGTTGATAAAACCTAACTGACTTATTACCTTGATTGTAATGTCTGGGTCAGATGACTGAATCGTGAGAGATTTTTGGAGTTTGAACAATACCAAGTTTTTGTACCTACCTATTTGGTACTAGACGTCAAATAATTGGGTACCTCGCTATAGAGCGCTCGCTAGTAAATTTTCGAACAAAAACCAATTTCAAGAAAAACACCCAAGTTACATTACATTGAAGGATGCTGAGAAAAAATTTTAAACAATTTAAAAAAATCCTAAACCATAAAACTGAATAGATACCTAGATAGGTAACGGTAAAACGGGGTGAATAGATACAGAAGAGGGGTGAATGAATGTAGGGAAAATATTCCAACATTATTCACCCCATTCCTGTATCCACCCCGTTTTACGGTATACAGAAAAGAATCGAATTTAAAAAGATTGAATTGAGGAAATGTTTTTTTACCCCCATTCCTGTATCTATTCACTCCATCCATAGTCCTTGACAATATTAATTTTGTAGTTCGCCAAATCATTGCTTACGTTTTCGTTTTACTAATACCTACATCAATACTAGTATATTGCCTATGTAGGTACGTACGTAATAACTTTTTACTTATTGAGGCATTTAAATCATTTCAGAAATCAAACTATCGTGCAATGTCAGTTCACCTAGGTACTCGAATGAAATAAAACACAAAGCCATACTAAAATTATTTTATTTTCCGTTGCACTTACATCGATTCAGTGACATTGTACAGTCTCCCATGATAAATTACTCTCAACCAATCACGCCAACTTGCAAAAATAATACTTATATCACTTTAACCCTAATTAAAATCTAAACGGTATGGTACAAATGAGATATTTTTACAAAAAAAACTAGCAATGGTTTCTAGGAATCCATTGAAATATTACTTATAGCCAGAATGAAAATTGAGTTTGTAAAATATCTAGAAAAATGTGAATAAGAAGTTACAAAATTACTAAGTTATATAAACACATAATTTCTTTGTTTCAAACAATCACTTATCTAAAAATATAATAACAAATTCTTAAATCATAACTGTATATTTTTAATGTACTAATTGCCACAAAATTATGTTTTTTCTCGTGTATAATGAATGCACCTGCGACCATCAGTTTTGAGAACAAAACAATGTTATAATTACTACTTTTTCATACTAAAATATAACCAACATACATATTTTAAGGAACTTGTGAATACAAGGCTGAAAAGTTGCGTTATTTGTTGCTCCTACACGATAAGAACTCGGTTTTATCGCCACAACAGTCCGATAACATGCCTTTGTTTTTATGTATGTCTAAACCCAAGTACCTACTTCAAGAATTACGTAGTTAAGTATCAATAAAGAATAGGTATTATAATTACAAAAAGCTGTCAAACTTTAATTATAAAATTAATTTTTGTTGTTAGCGTGTGTATTATTATCTAGAACGTCACTACTTAATTATATAATTTCAAATGAAAATTGTATGTATTTCTATTCAGATCATATCTTGTAATTCAAATGTGTTTGAATCAGGACTGTCCAAACTAGAGGTATATTCTCGCGGGCTAATTAAATTTCTTACAAAAGCTGAAGGGCCTAAAATTTTTTTTGTTGTATAACGACATTTAACTTTGTATTCTTTACTCACAGACAAAACTTGCATACAAATCATAGGTACACTGAGTTTTATTATTGTTGTTGCACTTAAGATGAAGTTGTTGAGATTAAAATGAGTATGTCGCGGGCCACATGAAAACAAGCCGTGGGGAGCAAGCGGCCCGCGGGCCTTTGTTTGGACAGCCCTGGTTTGAATGATTACTAAATACCTAGTTCAAAATGTCATAAAGTAATCAATGCGTCCTTGAATCAATCTATTAGTATGAATCGTCTAGCCGTCTGACGTTAGTTGTCTACAGTTCACACGTTTCAGTTGCCTTGTGGCGGGTGCCTGATACCCGACCATGTATGGTATGTATCACACGTACCTGCATGTTCTAACTAACCTCCATACATTTGCTTCTGGATACCCAGCAACCTGAATGTGTGAAAAGGCACTAAAAAGATGTCATCCAGTTAATCGTTGGATACAATACAAGCTATATTTATCAAATCCCTTAACTTTAATGTCGCGCCTTGATTAAAGGTTAATATTACAGCAAAATATTCGCTAAAATGCGAACAATAATAATCTAATCGGACAAAGTTCTAATTACTTTTATGATTCATTTTTCCTTTAAATATTTCTACATTGCTATTTACAGCCAGCACGTCGTTAGTCGTGGGTCCGATGCCCGGTAAGTGATTCTCAAATATTGTTCATGTCGTATAGAACTTGGGCAATCGTTCGAGAAGCTTCCACGCTGCTGAGCGCGATTGTCGCTAGATGAGATTCGTATGAGCGCAGTTGTCTGTAACAGAAAAAGGAAGAATATAATACATAATTATTATAAACTATAGGAGTTAGTTTTTCTGTACGGTCGGATTGGGTTCAATTTTCGTACGAACTAAATGTTGATATTCTCTTTTATAACGAAATTTAATTTTATCAGTAGTCTAAAACTTAAAATATTAATTATTTAAAACTAAAATATTTACTGTACACCTTAAATCGATAGAATATACATAAATAAAATGAATATTAACTATTACTTAAAGAAAATATATACAACTTAAAATATAAATAACCATGAACTAAAATATATACACCTTAAAAAATGATATTCTTAATCTGGGTGACATGTCTATCTAAAATTATATAAAACCACACTAATCTACTTATAATATGTAAACCGTATTTATAAAAATCCTTCTCGCAGTTTATGAGTTTATCGCATTCACAATATGAACAAATACGACAGCTGTATCTTTTATAATGTGTGATGACTTTTTAATTTCAAAATTTTCAATAGTTTAAAAAAAAATAATAAAGAATAGTAACACACATTTTGTCTTTATTATATACTCGACTATAATAAAGCAGAAAATATTGATGCACTTTTTATCGTAAAAAGTGCATTAATTAAACCTTTTATGTATATTAGATATTGCTTAAACCAATAAAATATAATAAAAAATTATTACCCTTCGTTAGTCTCGCTAAAAACTCAAAAACTGCTTAACCGATTTGGCTAATTTTGGTATTAAAATGTTTTGTATGTTTGGAATTCCAGGGAAGGTTTAAGAAGGTAAGAAATATAGCGGGACGAATTTTGCTGGGTCAGTTAGTAAAACATATTTAGCTTACCTCCGTCCAGTATTCGAATAAATGACAATATTCCTCAATATGAGCGCTGCAGTCAGACGTATACTCTTCGTTACTGGACCCTCGTTCTCATCCTGCCAATCAAAATAATATAATTAATAACCAATATAAAATTTTGGCGTTGAAATCCCCAAACAGGTAGAAAATGTGCAATATTATTCTAAAAAACCTCTTAAACAAATATCTAAATAATAATTATAATCACCAACCTATAGTTATATTTTTAGAATTAAGATTTGAGAAGCTAAAAATACCTTTTTTTATTGAAAATCTACTTATAACACATAGCATGCAAAATAGGCGAGTGGATAGATGTCATGTGATGTTTTAATCAATACAAATCAGTACTACTAAGTTTTACTCTAGAAGAAACTAAAAAATGCGTGTCAATTATATTTCTATTAGAAATTCTACTAAAAAATTAGTCCACTCTCCTACTTTCTTACACATAGATTGGCATTCGAAAAACAAAATTGTATAAAATGTTACGGAATTAATAATAAAAATGTTGGTCATGGATAAAACATGCATTGGGCTAGACTAAGCCACTGTGACGTGTAAACATAAATAACTAAAATTAAATTGTAGTAACAAAATTATGAAAATATTGAGACTACAATAATTGGGTACTTACCTTAATCAAAACTAAATTATTTTGACCGTTGAATACCATAAAATATTAAACATAATCACACTATCCTTAATTGATTACATGATTAACTAAATTTTAGTTTATATTTTCAGCTAAAAGAAAAACAAATAAGCTGTTTGTGGCTAAAAATAATTTGACGTCACAATACACAATCTCGTACAAAATTCATAGAAAACAGTTGTTTTTTATGAATTTCGAAAAAAGTATTGAATTTGACTAGTGCTTAACATTAACAGACAACAAATGGCTAGATACTGTTTGGAATATGTATAATTAATAACTTGATTTTGTACTGGATCCAAAATCTTTGTATTAAAATCGACTTTTGATATAATTTGTAGGGAATTTTTAAATGTTATATGTAATGTGTGAATTGTAATGTGTCGTCGTGGCCTGGAGGTTTGTCGTGGTGGCCCGGAGGTTTAAGACGCCCGCTTCTCATACATGAGGGTGCGGGTTCGAAACCTACCAACGGCAAGTACCAATGTGACTTTTTCCGAGTTATATGTACTTTCTAAGATTATCTAGACATCACTGACAAACGGTGAAGGGAAACAGTGTGAGGAAACCTGGACTTATAATTTCTAATTATAAGTTTGTAATCGCCAACGCACATTGAGCAAGCGTGGTGATTAATGCTCAAACCTTCTCCGTGTGAGAAGAGGCTTTGCTCAGCAGTGGGCATTTATAGGCTGTTGATGATGATTATAAATGTGTGAAAATGTGTAGTGTAGGCAAATCTACCTATAAATAGACACAGACCATAACCATGAAATTAATCCAAACAGTATCTAGCCAATCTCACCACCGAACACAGACAAGAACAAACAAAAACACAGTGTGATACGTGATAACGAAAAATGAAACCTATAATAACCTGAGACCTACGGTGTACTATAACACACTCAACAATCAATGCACGTTACCTATAATAATGACACGCCATAGCCGTAAACAATACGAAAAAGTGACACTAAGTCTACTGCCTACTACTAAGTCACACGGTACTGTAAATAAAAGTACAAATGACGTTCCAAATATTATTTAGTTTACTATAGTGACACGTTTTTCGTTAAAGCTAACATTCGTTGTCAAATGATTCGAAATTGCAGGAGAATTTTCGAGATTAGATTATTCCAGATTGTGTATTAGTTGTTATTGTAACGTGCATTCTTTATTGAGTGTTTCGTTATAGTAAACCTAAAGCAGGGTATTCACTTAGCAGTGCAGCACGAAACGTATCAGATACGGTATCAAATGAGTACGTAGGCACGAGCCCGCTGCGAGCCGCTCGCGCGTGGAGCGCTGTTAGCTCGCAGTGACACAAAGGCGGCTCGCAGCGTGCTCGTGGACGGCGTGACGACCGCTTGTATAGTGAGTACGTACGCGCGAGCTTCAAACGAACTTTACGTATTCAATTATCCATTATGGAGGGGACTGAAGAAAAAGTGTTAAATCTAATTAAGGGTCTACCAGAATACTCCAGTACTGTGGGACCTTAAAAATAAGAATTATTACACAAAACTAAAAGTGGATACTTGACATGTTGTCGGCGTGATGTCGTTGCGAGCACTGCGGATCCGGCAGCTCGTAGTTGTAGTAGTACAAACTTGCAGGTTGATACCGTATCTGATACGTTACGTGCTACACTGCTAAGTGTATATGTAAGCTTAAGGTGCCACGTTATTCAAGTTTGACCTTCTGAACGCCACGGTCGGGTAAAACCGACAAACAAAATACGTGATCCGTCACAGTCGCCACAGTCGACAAGAAAACATGATTCTTAAGTACATTTAGTTTGTCGGCTATAGCCGATGGCAGCGGTCAAAAGGTAGCAAAATTTCGTTAACACGTACCACGCACAAACAAGAACAAACACAAGAGAGCTATAAAACACACACAAAAGCTAGCTATATGAAGAACACAGACTGTGTCGTGTCTCACCAGTTGTTCCGGCGTGCGACCGAGTTCTGCCCTGTGCTGCGCGTGCACAAACAGACACGTTAGTGACGTCACACTGTGATGTGGCTTATGGCGGGTTCAGGGTATCGTTTTGTGAGGGTAAAGTATTTTTTTTTTCATGTTTTATTAACCCGGCGGGAGTGTGGTGCGGAAAAATTACATAGAGTATGTGGTGGGGTGTAACATACCCCACGGAACAAAGCGTCTTCTATCTAAGTATTTCTCCTAAATATTACAAAATTATCACTAAATATTATGAATGAGAATTCCTATAATAAAAAAATAAACAAATAAATACATATTTTTAATACTTTTATTACTAACTTAGTAGTTGAACAATCTGACAACATTTTGGTGACACAAATTTACTTGCGCTATTAAAATATTTATAAAATTAATCGAAGTAATTAAAACAAAATAAAAACTTCTAAATTAACAAAAAATAAGATCTTCTTTCAATTAACATGAAAAAACACTTATAGAATCAAATGGAATATTTTAGTAAGAGGCCTCGCCGTCAGCACAATTTTTGCAAGAAAATATTACATGTTTGATTGATTGAGTGATTTTCTGCAGCTTGCACAGACATGTTTTATCTTTCGATCTTTTTTCCGAGAACAATCCGCACATCGAGCATATCGTCTGGAACTGTTTTCTACTGCTGGGCGCAATGGTTCCCCCACCTGTGCAGAAATTCTTTGGCGAATGTTAGATGGAATATTTTTCTGTGTTTGCCGCAACTCTAAATATTTATTCAACAAAGTCAATCCAGATTATTCTGATATATTAGCATTGATAGCAACCATGTTCAAAATTCCATAATTGATCGTCATTGGCCAACCCGAGACACATTATAAGTAGCGCTCAGCTCGTCCACGACGTCTACTTCTGCTTTTGTGGAGTTGTAGAAAATAATCATTTTGGCCATCTTTAGATTACCGTAACTTACATGATCAGTCCCAAGAGACAGACAAGTTCTTTTGGCAGCAAGGAGAATATTGTCATCCTAATCCCACTCGCTGCTGATCGCTTCAAGTTCATCACATACAGCTTGCGTGTCTGATTCAAGCTTATGCTCACTGCAATAATCAAATTCTTCGGTAGAACCTGATTCATGCTATGCATGATGAAGATTCGGCTAAAACTTCATCAATAATACTTCATATACGTCTTTCATCTGCCTTCAAGGCCATTTTTATTCAAAAACTATATAAAATAAAAATATACATAAATATAAAAACAATACGCGAACTATGTGGCGGGGTGTGAAATACCCCACGGACGTTTACGTACGTGTACTGCAATCACCAGCCGGTGTAACATTAAAATCACGCCACTATCCCCTTCCGCAACCTCTTACCTCCAGCTACACGAAGCCACGAAATCTAGTTATTACCAGTTAAAAAAATATACCTAGGTAAACTAGTGCTGGGGTATGCTACACCCCACCACACTCCCGCCGGGTTAACATTATAAAATGAGATAGTTTGTCAGTGAATTAAGTGTATGTTATTCAATCACATTAACCTTTTGAATGCACCGATATGCGATAGATACGCAATATAAAATACATTGTGTCTCGCATGGATCCACGACTTAGACACACGAAAGGTTCAAATGTAGAATATGGTGTTGAGATAACACAGGCATGAAATTTGGAACAGGGGTCGAATATGATCTGGAACTTTTTACGTAAGAGAAGCCGCTAGCAGAAGCTAATGACTTGATAAAACAGTCAGGAATTGATAATGCTTTTTTATAAAGCGATTCAGAGGTAACGTTAGTTAGTAGTGGCCAGGGACAACCATGTTGATAATCTTTCATTATCAAGTAATCTATGATCATGTCTATGACTGAACCAAAGAGTTCATTTTTGTTTTTCTGTGTCTTTGAGCACGTGACCAAAGACGTGGATGCAAAGCTAGTACTTAAAAAAAACACTCACAAGACGATATCCTCAATAACAGCGTAATTGTGACTAGGCAATAAGGCAATTTGACTGTATTTTATTAAACAACATTATCATTAATATATTTTCCCAAAACTTCATCGAATTCCACCCGCTGTATGTATTAAGCAAGCTATTAAAATGTAGCTGTATTATTATAATATTTACTAACAATAAAGAGTAACAGTCAAACACCCTATTAACCCTATGGTGACTTATTCCACTAATTTAAAAAATATTTCTGGGTAACAGTAATTTTTTGGACTTAATAAATATTAGAATTGTCCAAATGATATGGTACTATAGTGACACCCCGGGGTCGGTAACTCCAACAACGACAACAGAAATCGGTTGCTAAGTCCGGAACATAAGAGATATTCAACTTTATCAGAGCAGGATAAGGTTGAAAATCCTTTATTGAGAGTGGGAGTCACATTCATTATCATTATTACAAAAAAAAACTACTAAACAAACGATTTTAATGTTTATGTATTTAATGACACACATAAGCATGATCTAATTATATGACTCCTGTAAGTAATGCAAAGGTCTGTAATTTTTTCGGTTACCAGGTGGCGTATTATGACGTCTTAAAGCCAGAATTGTTCCGTTGAGGGAACGAGATCTCGCTAGACGACTTGTATAGCTCTGTCTCTTTCCCTCAATGGAACCATTCTGACTTAAGGACGTTATAATAACCCCGCAGGCGGCGATGGTATAGAATTAAGTCTCTTACACTAAATGGTGTATTGAACACACACGAAGCGAAACTAAAGTCGAGTACACCTTTTTATAAAAAAATAAGTATCTACAAAATAATGGAATATAGGTTTAATTTATGGTCTATAATAACACATAAGACTACTTTTTATGCCACGGGGACGCGGGTGAAGCCGTTGCCATAAGCTAGTCAATAATATGTATTGCAAAAATCTTCTTTTTAAGCAATCGTACTTAGAGACATTTAATGATTCCTTAACCCAGTCATTCGCAATCGTTTTCGGAACAAAATCATCACTATATCACCTGATTGTAAGCAATCGGCGTCGCCTACGGACACCTGGAACACCAGAAGTGTTACAAGGGCTTTACCGGCGTTTTAGGGATTAGGAATTTGAGGATTGTTAGGGATTCAGGGATTGGGGAGGGGGTAGGATAATTTGGCCTCCGGTACCCTCACTCACACGACAAAACACAACGCAAGCGTTGTTTCACGTCGGTTTTTTGTGAGGCCGTGGTATCACTCCGGTCCAGCCGGCCCATTCGTGCCGAATGGTCTCCCACACTTAACCCTTTCGAGTCATTATAGACACAATTAAAGAACAATAGGTTGCGGTCACCGGTGTCCTCGCGGTGTTTTGACAGTTTAAATCTTTAAAGGTCTCTAATTACGGCAGTGGATAATAAAGCGTTGAACATAATATAAATTATAGTAGCTTACCATGAGTTCCCTAGGGTTGAACATGTCGGCGGCGTGTTTATTGAGCGCGGCGAGTGCTGCGTTGGGAGGATAGTTGAGTGCGACCGGCTTACCGTCCGCGCCCTCGCCCGCCGCGTGGCGCCGGGAGTAGTACACCGCGGTTAATGCCTGGACACACAGAACACGAATATTAACTCTATGTTCTATATTTAAACGACTTAAAAAAAAGAAATAAGGTGAAAAGAATAAAGAAGTATGTATGTATGTATAATAACGATCGTGAGACATACTAAATTAACTAAAAATCGCGGGTTACTCACGGGAAAATACTGAGAAAATCAGTATGCTGTGCGGCAGCCGCAACCGCCCACGCTGCTCATAAGGAAGAGCCCCTCTATGGCTCGAAACTAGTAGAGCTTTTCTCAGTATATTCACGTGAGTAACCCGCGATTTTTAGGTAAAGAAGTATGTATATTTGTGTTTATAATACCGCGATTGCCGTTTGTTAGACTTAGGAGCAAATTATTTGTTATTTTAACTGACCGACTGTCTGCTGTCAAAAACGAGTTTTCAATGAATTTTGTACAGAGTCAAACAGAATACTTATTTCTTAAAAATTTACTGGAAAAATACTATACTTAAGTTGGTCATAAAATCAATTAATGAAAATGTGATTATTTTTTAATATTTTATTGTATGTTCGACTGTTATTTCGACTGTTCAACAGTCGAAATAATTTATTTTTGATGAAGGCAAGTACCAAATTAATAAATGGTTTTTCTTTCTTTCTTTCAAATTACTAACTAGAATGAAGCTACCCGCACCTGCATGGAGCAATGTTTGTCAGTGAGATGGTTGAGTAGCGCGAACGTCTTCCGCGGCACTCGGTCGCAGTCGAGCCACATGCAGGGCGCCTCGCCGTCCGCGGACGTCGGGCAGTGACTGCGCGCCGCGTGGAAGAATACTTGCGTCGCGTTCGAGAATGTTCTGGGAATTACATAATAGCAGTACATGCATGAATTACATAATTGTGTTCAAACTCGGTATGACATAAATACTAATTAATTTTTGTATTTTTTTAATACAACATATAACACATAACACACCTAACATAACATCACGCCTTTTATCCCCGAAGGGGTAGGCAGAGGTGCGCATTATGCCACTGTACAATGTAACACCCACTTTTCACTATTTATGTTATAAGTCCCATGTAATAGGGAGTGAGCCTGTTGCCATATACCGGGAATTCCACACTCCATGCTACAACTGAGATTTTTTTTTAAAACCCCGTTTGACTTTGCCCGATCCATCCGGGAATTGAACCCGAGACCCCTTGCCCGGTAGTCGTACTTGCGACCACTCGGCCAACGAGGCAGCCAAAAACATATAATATTTATTAAAAATTGTATATATTTTAATTATATTGAACTTTAAAGTTGAACTTGTTAAATTCTCATTTTAAGGTATGTATTCTATGGATTTTGTTGTCATTTTCTTTTTCTATAATTAAGCCATTGTTACGCCGATGAATTTTATTGTCCCATGTCTGCGGTGAAATGGGACCTTGCGCTGGTATTCTACTGCCTCCTTCATAATCATGTGGGACCACGTCATTTGCTATTATCATTTGCACATCCAAAATATAAAATAAAAAAGACAATCATTGATTGCAATGATAATAATTATAATTTCTTTTTATTTTTTGGATTCTTTGGAAGACAAAATAATAATAAATAACAGTCCACTTACTTGCCACACCCTCTCCAATGACATATCCAAGGAGTTTCATCTTGAGGACTCGTGGCCTGCGCAGGTTGAGGCGCCGGCGCGGGGGGCGGGGTAGGGGACGGTTTCGGCGTAGGCGGCTTTGGAGGCTGAAGGATTATAAACTTAGTGTCAAATAGTGTATGATTCATTATTGAGTGCCGATGAAAAACAAGTAATTTTGTATTATACCTCTCGTCACGCATTTGACGAGGTAACTCAACTAGTTTCTAGCCACGCTTTTTTTTAAGGGCGGAAAATCATCGGATGACTTCTCCCGTATAGGTGAGGCAGAAGGGAGTGTCAGCCTCTTACTGACTAAAAACCACCCCGTTCCTTCTCCTGCACTTCGAGCCGGTCCCCGGGAACCCGTTAGATTCTCCGCAACTCCGAATCGGCTTCAACCCTATTGGGCCCCATCCGTTTCAGCCCACCCCACGCTTGGTACTCACAGAAACACGATGCGACGAGCTTCGCGCAACAAACTAGTTGCATCAAACAGTTAAATTAACAAACCGAAAGACATAATTTAATGACGAAATGTAATTAATTATTTATTTATTTTCATTAACTATTACTTTACCTCAGCAACAGGTTGGTTGACAACGAGTTCTTTGTCTCCGATCTTAGTGTTACCGACCATGACAGGCTGACGGATCACCTGCCTCATAACAGGCTGCGTCGCTGTCTTCTGCAAAACAATAATAATTGGATAAAAAAAAAATTGAATGTGTAAACACCCTTATCCTGTCCACCGACTATTCTGTTCCAAATTTAAATGTGATTCCTTCAGCTGTTTTGACAAGATTAAGTAAAAAACATACACACTAATTCACAATTCAAGTTTTTTATTATTTCTCTATTTTGTTTAATTTGATAGGTTTTTACATACTTTTGGTGCATCGTGTCTTGTGCGACATAAATAATTTCTTTCTTTCTATTTTTTTATGACCAGGCTGGCACTCTGTTTGTGTCAGCGCATACTTCTCTCACGTGAGTTTTTAAACAAAGATATAGGTAATACTGTTAGGAATGACCAATACTCCATATTGAACTTTCTATAAAAAGCGCGGGACAACCAACGCGGCCATTTTGTCAGCTGTCATACGGAGTGTGAAAATCGGTCAAGTTCTGTGAGACTTGCCTATATTTTTCATATTAAATATCTAAATTCTCAATGCTATCATTTTCATATTGAGTTATTGTTATTATATTCCTATTTAAATACACATTGGTTGATAAGTTTAATTTGAAATTGTATTCGCATAATCTAATAAAATGTAACTACTTCCCATATTGCTTTTTTTAAATGAATCAAATGAAAAACCTCCTCTAATCGCTTAAAATATAATAATCGAGTATACCACTTACCGGGCTCTGTATAACACTAGTCTTGGCCTCGCTAACAACGGACACTTGGTTGCTCTGCACGCTTGTGACTACGGGACTCCTTTGTGGTTGCTGTACCACTCTGTGTACGTTCGTCTTCATAGGAGTGTTCATTATGATCGGCTGTGTATTTGACACTGCTATTATCTGCTGACTGCCTTGTAGGAGTTGCTGGTTGCCTTGAATGTGTAATACAAATATTTAATATAAAAAGTACCGAGTGTTGTGCTCAGGATATTAAAGTATAATCATACCAAGATTCATCGTTATCGCACCGGGAGTTTGGCGTGGTGCGTGAACATATACGACACACCAGACAAAAATATTCGATGTACAATTCTCACTTTCCTACGATTTTATTATATGTATAGATGATAGAAGAACATAATAAAAAAAAACAAGTTACCTTGTATAATCTGCGCCGTACTGGTAACAATTTGACTGCTACTAGAAGTACTTATAAGTGCCGGCGGTTGTTTCTGAGTGACCACTATTTGTTGCGTCTGTTGAGGGTTGATGATCTGCGCTTTATGTGGTTGCGGCTGATTCGTTATTATTGGCTGCTGACTAGGAGTAATCTGAGGTGTATTCTGCGAATATTTTAACACCATTATAGATTAATACTTTTGTTAGACATTTTAATTATGTTTAACGGCTTACTGGCGTACTCGAAGATATTTAATGGTTACTTTTAAACTATTCCTTTTTTTAAGGGTGGAAAATCATCGTATGTCTGCCTCCCGCCTGGGTGAGGCGGGAGGGAGTGTCAGATTCTTACTGGCTAAAGAACACCCCGTTCCTTCTCCTGCACGTCGAGCCGGAGCCCCGGTTACCCGTTAGGTTCTCCACGACTCCGAATCGGAATCGGCCCTATTGGGCCCCATCTGTGGTGGTCTGATGGCTCTTTGAGGCGCGCGCGGAACGCGACGTTCCGTACGCTCGGGTTAAACTATTCGTTACTAACGATTTTTTAAAACAAGAGAGGACTAAGTGACCATTAAAGTGTCTTGAGTACTTTGGCTAATTGTTTGGCGAGGTTTTAAGCCACGCTAGCATATTCATGAGCATTGCTCGACACAAGTTACGGTGAACGACGCAAACTCTCTGAATATGAGCCCCCAGAATGGCTTGAAACCAGTTTAGCTACCTTACTAAACAGTTACATGAATACTCAACGCCGTTAAAACGAGTTACCTCGCCAAACAGTAACGTGGGTAAGCCGTAAAACACAATTATGAATAATTTTAGATATTTAGCAACATATAAGATGATTTAAGGCTAAACAGTCAACATGAATTTAACTACAAACAAAGAATAATACAGAATGAAGTTATAATAAGAATTATGTAAGGAAAATATACATAGAATGAACAGTTTCGATGAAAAATATGATATTGTTATTGAATATATTATGTTACGGTACCATGCTCGCTTACAAATACGACGTCTACGAAATGCAATACTCTATGACGTCTATGAAAAAATGCGCGTAAAATATTATGACGTTTAGATACAAGCTTGAAACGCTCTTTTACATTTAAATGTGGTAAGTTTCAAGTTTGTTGGAAAATTAATACACGAACTCAATTTCAGAAAGATGACCGTTTCAATAGTACATCAAGATTGGCAAAAGGCTGTCCATGAACAAGCTGATCGTGTTGAATGCTATCAACATAAGTTTCTTCTTATCTCAACAAAGGTTTTATTCAAAATGACATCTTTTCAGAAATCAGAGGTCATCGATAAGAATTGAGACAACGTGCAACAAAAGGTTTAAATCATATTTAAAACATATTTTAAGCAATCCCTAGGAGCAAATAAAAGGACGAATAATATTAACAAATATAATTTACACATTTTCTCACCCGTTCTATTGAATTGAGTAAGTACATTATAAAGCGATGAAGGTTTCCGTTATTGCGTTACTAGATGGCGCTAATCATAATAAATATTATTATTTGAGCATCATTAGCAAATTATTAATCGAAAGCCTTACAAAGAAACTATTTCAACACATAATTTAGTAGTAACAGAGAAAGCAATATACACATTCATATACATTCAGTATATACAGAATTACAGACATAAGTAAATACAATGAAATATATATAATTACAGAAGACCAGTTACCAATACCAAGCTACCACGACGTCTAACGTATCTGCTAAAGGACCTAAGTTACATAATACATCAGTGTACTTTGAGCTATAATAGTAAAGCCACAGAGTCTAATTTTGAGCAGCATTTCATGCCTAAGAGCAACACAGAAGGGAAATTTTGTATACAGTATGTTCTTTTTGTTCTCTACTAAATTATAGTATTTGTAGCTATCCTCAAAGTACTCATGCACATTGACAGTGACATCAACCTACTTGGACAGGTTTTAGGTAAATTTAACGGTGGATTTTGACAATATGGCGGCCTAGTTTTAAAAGAAAGCCAATCGAGTCCTTTTATAATTTGTAAACTTAAAAAACAATATGACTGCACGGTTGGTGCGGTGGCTGAGCAACCGGCTGCTGTGCAACGTGTCGCGGGTTCGATTCCCGCACGGAAAAACATTTTGTGTGATCCAAAAATTGTTGTTTCGGATCTGGGTGTCATGTGTATGTGAACTTGTATGTTTGTAAATGCACCCACGACACAGGAGAAAATACTAGAGTGGGGCAACGTTAAAAAGAAATCATATAATAGGTAGAATTTAACTTTAAAACTTAATTTTATTCATCTTTTCGTACGTCATAATTGTACGATTACTTTAATAAATTATGGAACAGTAACTATTTTCAATTAATTGTCGTATGATCAAATGACATAAGCTACTAACTAAATAATAACAATTAAAAAATCACCCACAAATGGTACTTTTAAAGTCACCAAATACATAATTTAGAACTTTAAAACTCTGCCATTATCACTTTACTCTCTTAAAACACTAAAAAATGTTCAAAAAAATCTCAATTTTCTATACAAATCCACCATCTTCGGAACCAAAAACCTGCCCCTAAAGCTTAAATATTTTATTTTATAATATTCTGTGCATGAAACCTGTGCGAGGACGCTCTTCACCACTGTGATCGCCTGCGAAGTACTCACTAACGTAGGCTGACTCAACACCCTCTGTGTAGACTGTATCACACCCGAGTTCTGCGATAACCAACTTTATTTCAACAAACTTTAAGTTCAAAATCCCATTTACGTGGGTACGTGTTGAACTTTGGTGTAAAGTGGTATTCATCCATGTAGACTGTATCACACCCATATTATGCGATAACCAACTTTATTTCAACATTCTTTAAGTTCAAAATCCTATTTATAGCGATAATTGTTCAACAAATTGTTACTCTGGGTTTCAAAACAACCTCTGTATAAGACTGTATCAGATCCAAGTTCTGCAGTAACCAACTTTATTTCAACATACTTTAAGTTCAAAATGGTATTCGACAAATTTATTATTCTGGGCTTGGGTTCAATTGAGTACATATTATATATCCACACAAAAACTACAGTTATAGTGTGAGATATCTTTTAAGATAAAAAAATGCTTTTATATTTATTTGTATAAATGTCGTATTCGGTCTGTGGTTAGTTTTTCTTTATCATTTTGAATACTTACACATTTTTATATTATGTAGGGCCGATTTTTCCAATGCCAGATAAATTGACAATTCTTCCATACTAAACTTTTAACTGTCAATTTTATTCTAAAGTTAAGAATTAACTGATGATTAAAAAATCGGCCCCTAGTTGCTAATACTTACTTGCATATCCCGTAGCTTTATTAGTGTGCTTTATATTATAATACAGTTGAATTGTACTTACAAACACAAATTAACTTACCTAATTTTGCAAAACAAAATTATACTCTTCATACTTAATCTACAATTTGGTAACCCATGAGTTAGTAAAGCGGCGATTGAGTTAATAATTATGATTTGATGATCCGAATTTACACGCAAAACAATAATAAAAAACGTGCAAAAACCCATATTTTTCTTTATCAGTAATTTTGATATTTTGAATGATTGTAGTGTTTTATATCATTTTTTTTAAATAAAATCATTCTTAGATTTATTGGTACAGCAATAAAGACGCTTAATAAATTTAGAAAAAAAATTCAATAGATAAGTTGGTACAAAAAACCTATACAAATTAGAAACAAGACCCAAATCACCTGGAAAACGCTTGTTAGACCACAAAAAAGCGAAAAAAGAAAGGGAAAAATGGTATTTATTATTAATTGATGAGAACCCAAAGTTGCTAGGCAGCCGCAACTATTAGTATGAGTTGAAGCATTAGCACAGTGTTCCACACTACTCCAAATAGTCGACAAAACTCTTTACACTACAACAACTTTGAAAAATCAACTCATGAGTGAGTTAGTTCACCCAATAGGGATGTTTATAGTCAGTCAAAATAAATACTTTTTTATATTATGAACAAGTAACAAAAAATACTTTTAATATTTTTACTGAGCTCTATTGTAACAATCAAGTCATTTCGTTTGATATCGAGATAATTGTGGAAAAAATATATTATTTTTTTGTATGGCCATCATGATTGTAGACAGTGTGTACCAAATATCTGACCGATCTGTGTGAGAAAGGCGGTGAAATTCTAATTACAAAGTTTGACCCCAACGAACAAACGCGACAAGCTAAATAAAGCCTAATATAAACGGCAATTTTGTATTGATTTGGGCACTTGCCTTAATCAAAAATAATTTAAAAAAGTAATCACACTTTCATTAATTGATTTTATGACCAACTTCATTTTAGTATTTTTTCAGCAACTTTTGTTTTGTTTAAAATAAGTACGCTGTTTGACATTAAAAAAACGTGACATCGCAATACACAATTGAGTACAAAATACATAGAAAACTGTCCTTTTTGACTGTTCGAAAAAGTATTCAATTTGAATAGTGAGCAAGTACCCAATTCTAGGAGTTAGCTGTTTGTGACGTCATTATTGTTGTTGATGTTACGTCACTGATCTGCGAAACAATAAAACTACTTGATAGAGTTTTTATTATGGTTGATAACCAATCAATGAATAAATGTGAATTTCTTGTCTAAATAGAATATCTTTCTGACTAAAGCATCATCCCTATTTGGCATAAAAGTATGTAAGTTTTGTTGCGCGAGTTCATTGACCGACTATAAGGAGAGATATCAAACTGTGTTAGCTACTTGATTTGAAGGTAACCTGTATAATTTGCTGTTGCGTTATCGCCTCTGTTGCCTGCGTAATAAGGCTGTTAAGCGTCGCTTCGTCCAGGCCGCCTGGGTTGTTCACCTTTTTGTCATAACATTTAGATTTAGAACTTTTTTTAGAACGCCGAGCGCATTATAAGTTAGCAACTATTCTAGCGCAACAAATGTTGTAACGCGGATCGCGCAATACCAATTAAAAACCAAACTGTATTTTCAAGATGTTATTATAAAAATGTACAATGGTTTTATAAACACAGTTATAAACAGACAACATAAGTCTGACAGATTTTCTTTGGACTTGAATGAACGTTGCGCATCGTTGCGCAATGATGCGCTAACCATTCACAAGTTAAAAAGTGAAGAGAAATTAACACATACTAACTGTCATGAATATAAAAATGATTTTTCTTGCCAATAATACCTCGCAAATTTCCCCTATAAGGGTTAATCTTCTGCTGTACAATATAAAGGTCTTAAATTAATAGATTATTTTTTGTATTAATTATTTAAGTAAAATAGTACATACCGTTAAAGTAAGAGGTCCCCCGCCAGTCGGTCCTTGGACTATGATAATCGTTTTCTGCATCATATTCCCGGGAATGTTCTGTGCTATGTAGCTTATGCCACCTGTTATAGAGTTGAACAAATTATCAATGAAATTCAACAATCGTGATGTAACAACTATTATTAAGATGTCTTTTTTTATAAGTGAACTTTTTGCTGTAATATTCTGTTCTTGTGTTCTTTGTTTAATGCATGTCGTGGCTGCCTTTAATTAAGGCTACATACACTGTACAATGTTAAAATATGTTAAAAACCTATATGGATTTTGGTTTATGCTTTGTTGGTTACCCTTAAATAAATAAATTAAGCACGAAAATATAGCTAACCCAGTTTAACTGTGAATCTTAATAATATAAGAAGTTACCTTGAGCGTTGCTAGGTGTAGCAATAATCTGCATAGGTTGCTGCACAAACTGAGTCGGCTGAGAAGAAATTGATTTCTCTGAAAACGTATTAATACAACAATCAGTATTTATCCCATACCGCATAGAAGTAAATCACTGCGACGACTCCTGGTCAGGCAGGAGTCAGACTCTGACCGACTAAAAGCCACTCTGTTTTAAGCCCTGCTTAATTACGTGGCAAATACACATATATAAAAATGAATCCCTTTTCCCTTGGCCAAGGCATCACGCGTGAATGGCTGGAACGATTTCACTAATTCTTTTTTTGTTGTATTTGTTATTATTAGGAGACAGTTCTTCAGACAGAAAAAGTCCTGAAAATCCTGCGGGAACGGGAGAAAACGTACGAAGTCGCGGGCAGAAGCTAGTATTATAATATTTATAACTAGCTGACCCGGCAAACTTCGTACAGCCTAAAAATATTTTTCTCACCTTTTAAACCTTCCCTGGACTTCCACGAACATTTCAAGACCAAATTTAGCCAAATCGGTTCAGCCGTTCTCAAGTTTTAGCGAGACTAACGAACGGCAATTCATTTTTATTTATATAGATTTATAGATTTATGTCAGCATATATGTTTTGATTAAATGGTTTTTAGATTTACCATTAGACTAGAAATGCTACTAAAAAAATATATTTAAAGACAGTGCAATGTAATAAGGTAGTGAATGGTTACCTTGTAAGATGAGTTGGCCAGCCTGTGACGCGATAATGTTCTGTACTTCCATGGGCTGTACTTGCAACATCGGCTGCTGCACTTGTATCGTCTGCTGTGGACATGTGACTTGCGTTACTATGTTTCAAATATTAATGACAGAAGATCTATCAACTAGTTTAGGTATGAGTACCTTCAATTGATAGCATGTATCAAGAGATTGACGTGGATGTAGCGGAGAAAATATGTCATAATTGTGGTTTTTGGTGGCCCGGAGGTTAAAGTCGCCCGCTTCTCAGTGCGGGTTCGAAACCAACCAACGGCAAGTACCAATATGACTTTTTTCGAGTTATATGTACTTTCTAAGATTATCTAGACGCCACTGACAAACGGTGAAGGAAAACATCGTGAGGAAACCTGGGCTTATACTTTCTAAGTTTGTAATCGCCAACCCGCATTGAGCAAGCGTGGTGATCAATGCTTTAATGCTCAAACCTTCTCCGTGTGAGAAGAGGTTTTGCTCAGCAGTGGGCATTTATAGCCTGTTAATGATGATGTGCTTTTTGGTGTTCCATTGTCTTTGCCTACTCCAGTGGGAGACGAGTTCGTAATATATTCGCTGCATTGATAGCACACTGGTGTAAGTCAAGAGTTCCCAAGCCCTACGTTCCCCCTTTCTCCCAAAGACTGGCTACACACATACGTCGCTAACTCCTCTGGTATCGCGGGTATCCACGTGCGGTGCTAATTGCTTACAAATAGATTATGCGGCTATTGGTTACCAGTACCCTTTACATCCCATAAAAAATATTTAGACATCGGCAACCAGTTCCGAAAAACATTTTTACTAAGATATTACCTGTAAAGTCGGAGCTTGGACCTGCAACGTAGGTTGTTGCACCTGCAATGTAGGCTGATGTACTTGCAGTGTGGGCTGTTGTACCGTCAATGGAGGCGGCTGAACCTAAATAAATAATAAACAAAATTATTTAACTTAAATAAGCAAGAAAGATGAAAGAAAAGACGGAGGGCCTACTGCGAGACATAAAATAACATTTATTTAGGCTAACGCAATCGACATGTCTATGACGTTCGGCGCTCTGATTGGCTGTTCGTAGTTAACCAACCAATCAGAGAGCTAAAGGCGGTAAAGTTCGATCGCGTTGAGATAAAAAAATCTCGCACTGGGTGTTATGAAAAGTGACACGTAAAGATACGTATAACAGAGTGGGAAATTGATTATAGTTTAATCTACATTTGTTTTCCCCGTATCGTGAATGTGTGACCCACAAATTGGTGAGTCTGGGTTTGATATGCATCTATATATGATTGTAAAAGTGTAAACCTGTCCACGACGCAGGAGAACTTCTGTGCGGCAAATGAATGATAATAATGATGATAATAGTAACATTTGATATAATGTATACAACTGCGTCGTAGGTCGAAAATTGTATATCGAGTTCGATTTAGAAATAATAATTATTGGGTTAATGTTAATAGGTAATCTAGATTATACTATGTGTATGGCAATTGGTTCGACGTTAAGAAGCATGCGATACAAATTGGATGGGACTACCTGCCCCCTCAGAATAGAAAGCGTGAACTTCTAAAGAAAGCTTACCTGAAGCATAGGTTCTTGTATAATTACAGAATTATCACCGGTCGTTGACACCAAAACCGACGGCTGAATGATTTCCACGGGATCCTGTTTCGGCGGGAGCTATTTCAACAGAATATCTATTAAATAAACTAACTACTGCTAACATTATTCTACATGCTACTACTAAGACTAAACACTCACTACACTATACAATAACACTAAATACTTAATACAAAAAACAAATATTATAAAGGTTTTCCAAAACGTTGAAATGTGCCTACATTATCTCTCTATGACTTCATCGTGTCGCGCATATCGTGCATCCTTTTTTGACCCTTTTTCCATTACCACTAAATTCAAAATTGTTTACATATGCTGTGTAGAAATAAAACCTTATTTCATTAGAATATCATAGTCGCAACCATGACGACGATTAGTTGTGTAACCGTAGTATCTAAATCGAGACGCTAGAACAAACAGTAGAGTTTATTCGGTCATCGTGGTAGTTGCGCAACTAAGTTGACACCAGAAGGCCTAGTGCGTGTTTGTTTTATGCTAACGCGGTCGATACGTTGATGACGTTCGGCGCTCTGATTGGCCAGCTCTAATAACCAATCAGAGGTCTAAACGCAGTGTTCTTTTAATCGCGTTAACAAAAAATCGCACTAGGCCCTCAGTGCCTTTAGCCAAACGTCACTTTGGCGGTTGTTTACAGAGGAGTAGAAATCAAAATGTATGGGAATGACACTGACAAGTGTCAAAATTTACAACAATTCCATATAATTTGGTTTTCTACTCTACAAGTAGACAAGCGCTAAATGGCATTTGGCTACAGCTTCTGGTAAGATATCTTCCAGATATCTGTAACGTGCATTGTGTTGAACGCAACATGGTTAGACGAACATGGTGTTTTAATGAAATAGCATCGGGGGTAGTGCAAATCCGCGAATCTACCATATGTAAAGGCCACGTATCTGCAATGGATCTAGTTTTACAGGGGAAGGTTAAAACTTAATAACTTTATTAATTCAATTAATTTTAAGCTCATTTTTACATATTAAAAAATGAGTCGAAATGAACTCGTGTCAAGGCGGTGGCAGCCGATTAAGATTTTGTGAGATTTTTCCGCTAAAACTTGAATTAGGTACATTTGTCAGATACGCAAATTATCTAATGCTAGTTCCGAGGATTCACACTATCCCGACGATAGGGATAATTTTGCAAAGCGTTCAAACAGCAAGCCTTTTTACTATATTCATGCAACTAAACATTTATTATTTTTAAGCAATAAATACATACATAATATGATATATAAAAGGTATAATCTATATCTATAGTATAATAAAAAGATATACATAGCATGCGATATGAGATTTACTAAGTAAAATATAGAAAAAACATCACGCCTAGTCACACAAGTTTTGCCATTTACTAGAGAGCGAACCTATTGCCATACATCAGGCATAATTTTAGCCATATCGATCATCGATTTGACATGCCATTTTTATCCGTATGTCATAGTAGTTAAGGTTTATTTTTGATTGTTTGTTTTTGTTTTTTATAAAACGTTGCCCGACACTAGGATTTTCACAAGTATCGTGGGTGCTTTTACAAACCATACAAGTTCAGACTCATTGTCGTGTGTAAATATGATTGATTTGATTGATCAATTTGTGGATCAGACAAAGAGTTGGCCCGTGTAGGAATCGAACACACTACACGTTGCGCGCCAACCGTGCCGTCAAATTTATTCTCAGTATCTTCGCCGCTCCATTTTCGGTTTGCACTGAGTCTTAAGGAAAGAATTTCTTAGATGCAAATATACCATAATACTATTATACCTTTAGCCATTTGATTAAATTTTTGACTAACGAGGCAGTTCAAGATCATGCATTAAGTGTGATAATGTTAGTAAAAATAATAAGGTAGATGACTCATTTTACATTATTTTAAAATATTAGACACGTATGTTTTATTTTCTCACGGAAACAAATACTTCCAACGATATAACACATAACATAATAAATATCACGCCTTTTTATCCCCGAAGGGATAGGCAGAGGTTTTCATTATGCTACTGTACAGTGTAACACCCACTTTTTACTATTTATGTTATGAGGCCCATGTAATAGGGGGTGAGCATATTGCCATATACCGGGCATAGTTCCAGACTGCGTGCTAGTACTGTGAATATTTTGAACAACCCAGTAATACTTTGCCCGACCCGGGATCCGAGACCCCTTGCCCGGCAGTCGCACTTGCGACCACTCGACCAATGAGGCAGTCCGTCATAGCTAGCTCCCACTCCTAACTCTTTTGACTCGTTTTTTCAAGTATTGTTTTATTACACGACAAATTAAAAAAAAACATGTCTAATATTTTTTCATTACCTACCTGATGGACTAAATACATTTTTTATTGTCATCATCCCTATTATTTAATTAATAAAAAAGAGTTAGTATGAAACCTTGGCTCGCAGTGCTCCCAATAACAATCCGTGTGGTCGCTTTAGACGTACAGACATGAAATGAAGATAATTATATACATTTTTAATATAAGCTTCGTATTAATGTAAGCTGGTATTAGTAATATTAGGAACAATAAGTGTTTATGTGAAGTTGTGAAGCAAATAATTTGTATAGTACGCATTTTTTGTAGAACTTATTTAGGTAAAGGGAATATGTACGATTAGTTTTCATTCAACAATGAAGAAAAAGCATAAGAAGCTAGTAAGTATAAAATAATAAGTAATAGGAGTTATTATTATGTTAATTTGTGAGATAAAAACATATGATACTGTTAAAGTTGTGAGATTCGAAGAGTTTAGAAAGCACAGACAGACTGCAATAAACAAATATTACTAGATTATAATATAACACAAAACATTTTTATTTTTGTTTTAAGTTCACAACTATTTTTTTCACCACTACCACCACCTAATCTAATGATGGCATTCTCGTTAATGGAGGTTCTAGTATATGTAAGTATAAAATATTTGTCCCACTAGCGCCATCTCATGGAAGCCCAATCTACTAATTATAAGACTAGCTACCAAAGAAATGTCAAAAAGAACAATAATAATAATGATAATTTGTGTCTTTTTTTTATGGGACAAGCCCGTAAACTCCTGTAAGCCAGGATCTACAGTAGATACAACCATGAAAACACCGGAATACTGAAGTCCGGCGCGTCTCAGGGACATGAGTAACTGTTTTGGTTCCCGCAGTGAAGTGAATCAGAAGATATTATAAGAGGAGAAGAAGAAAAAACTATAGTTTCCACTTCCCTTGGTGAATTACTACAGAATGAATTAAGCCTAAAGGCAGAATGAAGAGACTGGGATAATTTATGTCTTACAAATGTCAGCAATGTCAAAATCAAAGCATTTATTTCAATTAATCCTTCATTAGGCAATTTTAATTTAAAAATTGAATTGTCCATCCATCTGTCTGTCAGTGAAGCTAGTCGCTCGTTCCAAAGCGTAGTTTCGAATGGAGAAGAACGAGCAAGAAACTCAATCGTTACTCTTATAAAAAAATATTTTGTGTGTAATGTTCAATAGTTATATAAGCAAGTAATAAGTGTGTTTTCTTACCAAATCCTCTTCATCTTCCAAAGCCGAAGCAGCAAGAGCGGCATACAGATTCGCCGCGGTTTTTGATACACTCTCTTGCGGCAGCGGGGCCTGGGAAATTTTATACATAAAGTGACCATCACCAAGTTAAAATGCTTTGTTTTCAGATTTTGTGTCATTTTCGAAATGACCCAATTATACTGTGCCCAAACTGGGAATGGAAACCGAGAAGAGGCCGGTAACGCACTCGTATAGGCTGGTAACACATTTATAAAGTCTCTAGTGTACCAGGTGTCCATGGGCGAGGCCGATTGCTTACCCTCAGGGTACCCGTCTGCTAGTTTACCGGCTTGTCCTATAAAAAAAGCTTGGTAGTCCACTCATGTATCGAACTCATGGCTTCTTACTCGGAAGTCACACTTGCGACCAACTCGACCAACGTAAACTCGTCACTTTTTCGAGTATACACACATACATACACCCATCGAGTAAAAACGGTAAAAAATAAAAAACCAACCTTCTCTTCCACCTTACTTTTCTTCGCCGGTGGCTCATTATACGAATGATCAGTTGAAGGCACCTCCTCCTTCTCAGGTTTTATCTGAACTTGACCTTCAGTTTTAACCTGAACGAGTTGCCCTTGTTCGTTCTTATACTGCAAAATGGGAGCTTGTAATTGGTCACTTTTTAATTGAATGATTTGCCCCTGTTCATTCTTTATTTGAATGAGTTGTCCCTGTTCGTTCTTTATTTGAAAATATTGGTTTCCTGGTGCTACAAGGCTTGAGTCATTTATTTGTATGACTGGGGTCGGGTCGGATTTGACCTGGACGATTTGTCCTGTTTCTGTTATTTGAATGGTTGGCGCGTTGATTTGGGGGCCCATTTGAACGACTTGCAATGGAGGGTTGGAGTTTTTCTTTAGTAAGTCTGCTAGCATCTTATTTTGGGCTGATTTCTGAAAGAAAATGGATAGTTTTCATTGATGAAATTTTTTAGTCGAAGCCAATATAAAAAGTAATTTTCATAGATATCTTACAATTGTCAATTGTGTTTGTTCATCGATTTGAATTTGTACAGGTTCTTCTTTAGGTACTGAAATGAAAACAAAATAAATAAATTGATTAAAATATTTATTTAGAAATTATGGAATATAAAAAATGTTATAACGTCATTTTAAAAAAATATAAAAAATAAACAGTGGCTATAATTACCTATGGGCTCTTCAACTGGTGCATGGACCTGTAAAAATAATTAAAAAGAAATAATATTTCGTATTCATATTTTAACACTAGGCCAATAAGCCTAAATACATTTTATAGGCGACATATATAGAGGTAAGCAGAGGTGCACATCACGGCAGTTAGGTAATGCCACTGTACAATGTAACATCCACTTTTCACTATTTATGTTATGAGTCCCATGTAATAGGGGGTGAGCCTATTGCCATATACCGGGCACATATTCAGACTCCGTGCAACTACTGAGATTTTTTTAAAAACCCCGTAATACTTTGCCCGACTCGGGAATTCAACCTGAAACCCCTTACCCGACAGTCGCACTTGCGACCACTCGGCCAATGGGGCAGTCCTAAATATGATTATTACATTTCTACAGTAAATAATTTTATCTTTCATTCCGCCTGCAGTCTTATTTAATGTAAATATATTATTCCTACCTTATCTGTGGGCGTGCTACTGGCAACACCGCCGGGTGTTATTGTCGTACACTTGATCAAAGCTTCCGGGTCGACATCCATTACCTGCTGCTATAAAATCAAAGTAAGTACATAATATTAATTCAAGGATTTAAGTTTTTAATTGGCCTATTCATGGCGGCCAATTGGTTATCCAGTAGCACGTATATAAATCTGTATTAATAAAAATAACATAACATAACATCACGCCTTTTATCCCCGAAGGGGGTAGGCACATTACGGCACTTAATGCCACTGTACAATGTAACACCCACTTTTCACTATTTATGTTATGAGTCCCATGCAATAGGGGATGAGCCTATTGCAATATATCGGGCACAAATCCAGACTCCGAGCTACCGCTGAGAAAACCCAGTAATACTTTGCCCAACCCGGGAATCGAACCCGAGACCCCTTGCCCGGCCATCGCACTTGCGACCACTCGGCCAACGAGGCAGGCTTTATAAAAATAACAGGTTTAATAAAAATTCATCACCAAAATGTATATACGCCCATAACTGTCGAATGACTGCACAGAATTGTATAATTATTTTTATCGTTAGGACAAAGTTTGTCAGAACCATATGGAAATAGCACCCAATATTATATTTACCTGATTATTCTGTACCACAACTGTGGTCGGGGTCGCTGTGGGTGGTGCTCGCTGTTGACTCTGTTGTCTTTGCGCCACCTATATTAATACAAGTTGAATTTAAAAGAGCACAGAATAGTTTTAAAACCAGAATAATAGTAACTGCAAGATGCTTATAACAATTTGATTTCTAACTAAGAAACAAATATAGATTCATTTAGTAAACAAAATTAGGGTTTCTTTTTGTATTATATTATTATATACCCCAAATGCAAACAAAAAAAAATTAATAATTGTTTATCAATTTTTACTTGCACTATTTTATCTGTTGCTAAAATAAGAAAAAATAAACAGATTAAAATATTATAGGTTGGGAATCTAACCCAGCCCTTTAGATTCTCGCAACTTCTTTTAGACAGAAATACTGTCAATATACAATAATTAAAAAAAAATCCCTAAACATAATATACAGTACGTTCCAAAACTCAAAATACATGCTCACAAATAAGCTAGCGTAACTTCATGCTAGATCAATCCAGTTATTTTGTTATGTTAGTTTTAACTATGTATTATGTTCGGCATGCCTTACTACATCGCTTTAACTGCCACTACTTTGTACATACTACATAACAACTTAATTCCGTATAGGATGAGACAGGTGTATTTTCAACACCAACTTTTTCTATTAAACTACTGATAATTTTCTTTTTTTTTCATAATTTTACACAACCTAGGTTTCGTTGCCAGGAAATGAGAATTTAACAGCCAATCGACAATATTGGCGTTTTTTTAAAGTTTTTTTGGATTGGCAACCAGAAGTCTTAAATTTAGAAACATGTCGAAATATTCAAACGCTACTCAATTGTAAGTCGCGCTTTTAAATAATTCTGTCACTACAAATTCTTTGTAAAATGACAGAGATGCCACGATAATTAAGTATAACTTAAAATTGAGCCTTTCAGTGTTCTGGCGTTAGGCGTTTTGTTTTACTTTTGCTTTTTGGCCACAAAAGGATAAATTTCCTATTAAAACATTTAACACTATAACACTTCTTTAACAATTGGATAAAAACATATTCTATATTCTACAAGACATGCTAGATTCAACAGTTTGTCACCATCAAATCATTATTATAAAAATCATCAATTCAATCATGCAAATTGTTAATCATTTACTCAATGATCCTGTTTTTATACCTTTGTTTACACGACCTGCATTATCTAAATTTAAAATAAGAAATCAAAAAACAAAATGAAATTAAAGGTAACTCATAAAACATTACAACAAAATCATCCACAAACCTAAAGAAAACAAATCAGTCTATTTTTTTTCATAAAGACTCCAATTTCTCAATAATTTTGCACCGTAAACCTCGTCTACCTTTTAACACCCAGACCTTCAAATCCGTCCACACTATTTAAACATAACACATCACACATTTTATTCCCCCAAAAAGAACACATTACCGACATAATAATATCATTAAAAATGTAACATCAAGAAATGAAACCCACTTAGAACCGAGTTTTCTTAACTGTAGAATAAAATTGTCATTTGACAGTTATTAGTATGGAAGAATTGTCTAATATTCAAAATTATTCCTCTGATATTTACCTGCCGTTGGAAAAATCGGCACTAAATAAAATATTTTTTTTACTAACTCATTCAACTAAACTAATTTCGAGCCACGCTAGGAGCCCACATTTATGAGCAACATCGTGTAATGACGCTCATGTATATGAGCCCCTAGAATGGCTTGAAACTAGTCGAGTCACTCGTCTAACAGTTACGTGAGTAAATCGAAAACATAATAATTAATTTACTTATGTAACTCATGTATTGTTTAATTACTTTGATTCACTCCTATTCAAGAAGAGTAGGCAGAGATGCAGGTAACACCAACTTTTTCACTACTCATGTTACAAGTCCAATGTAACTCCCTGGCACCCATTATCCCTAATATAAACCTAGCCTCCGTGATTTGGAGAATGTTATTCGACTAAATTAATAAATCGACTCTAATCCAAAATCTATAGTAAAAATACCTTACTAATATAAATCTAAATAAATAGTGTAGTTTGAACTCTCTAATGTACAGAACTAAAGGTTCGATTTGATAAAATATTTTTGTGTTGGATAGTCAATTTATCGAGCCTCATATTCATGGTAGTACTCTTCATGTTGTCATCGTAGTGTGTTATATATATATATTTATAACACACTATCAAGAATATGAATAATCTTTAGTATGTGATCGATTTTTAACATACGTTCTTTGGAGTATCTGTTAAAAGCATATAACTTTTAAGCAGCCCTATTCGTCGTTAGCTTGGATATCTCCCGTTTGACTTCACTCGAGTTACATACTTTTTTTTTATACGAAATATAAAAAAAGATAAAAAATATGCAAAAAATGTTAATTGTTAGTGTGTTGTTAGTAGCACTTACTTGCTGTGGTTGCAGGGCGGGGCTTACTTTGTGCGCGAGTAAATGTTTGATCAGCGTAGTGTTGGAGGGAGTCGACTCCAGCGCCTGAGACAGGTGGGGGTGCGTGGTTGTGGGCGGTGCTTGTGGCTAGCGGAATAGTATTACAGATTTAATAGAGTGGATTTAAGAATTTACTAATGTTCAAATATTGAAACGCCCCTCATTTTAAAACGAAACTCAAGTATAGTTCTGTCGCTACGAATACTCTGTAAAATGACAGAGATAGCACGATATTTAAGTACCTAAACGTAGTAAATTAAAATTGGGTAGCATTTCAGTATTCGAGCGTATTAGCGTTTATACATTGAGATGCTATGTTATCAAAACCGGCCTAATGACCAGTTATCAAAACTGTTGTCAGTAGATTTGGTTACTTAAGACAAAATTACTCATTCTACTTTTTAAAAATAAATATCACCTCAAGTGTATTATGTGTATGTGGCTTTATGCCTTAAATAATATATATTTAGTAGCTGTACATGCAGCAGTAGCACATGTTACCCTAGCGAAAAGTCAGTGTTACATTCAATATGCGTCTCTGCCTACCACTTTTATTAAGGCAATAAAACTTATATTTCGGCCATAAAATACAAACTGAAAGACGCCTGTGGCGCCATAGATTGAATATTCGTAGACGAATCGACAGATGACGTCATAAAATCTTGCACCGCGCAAGTGAAGTTTGCGCGCAAGATTTACACCGATAGATAATTCCAGTATACAATTGATGGGCACGACGTGCAACTGTAGCTCGCCAGGCTCTATCACCTCGCCTGGTTGGAAGCTCGCCTTTTCCAATCTAAGGTATCTTTACTCTCTTCCCTAAACACCTTAAATAACTTTGTAGGACAAAACACATATTTGCCCCATACAGCAATCTAACTCACGACATAATACACTATTAACTCTATGAAACTGTAAATATGGTATACAAGTTGTTATACAAGTGGGTGTTTACCTGCGTTTGTGGTTGAGATACAGCAGGCTTCGCTTCAGCCGCTGCCTTATTTGTTAGTTGAGCCTTCAGTATAGGCGATGACGGTCCTAAGAAAAGGTTAACAAAACATTTATTAACCAGTTAAAAAAAAGGAAATTGTCACTTAGTATGTATGTCTGTTTGTCCCCAATTATCACGCGATTGGTTAAACGGTTTTTGATGCGGTGTTCAGAAAAGTGTTTGCTACACTTAAAACACACAGGTTTAGAAGGTATTTTAATAGACATAAATAAAGAAGAAAGCCAAAGTTGGTTTTATAAACTTAGTTCTGTGACTGCACGGTTAGCGAAGTGGCTGGGTAGATGGCTGCCGCGCAAGATTCCCGCACGGAACAACTCTTTGTGTGATCCACAGATTGTTGTTCCAGGTCTGGGTGTCATGTGTCTATACTTGTATGTTTGTAAACGCACCCACGACACAGCAGAAAAACCCAGAGAGGGTTAAAAAGAACCAAAATATTATATTATGTAAGGAAAGTTGAATACAAACCTGCTGGAGGGTTGGGTCTATTCTGTAAGGCCCTGGACCTGATGCCAATATACACTTGTTGAGTCTCACCAGTAGACAGCGTCACTGTGTTGGGACCCACTGTACCACCGAACACCGTCCTGGAAGTCATGGTGTCAGGGTAAAAAGATGATTACGGAGCAAGGAGCCCTCAGAGCACCACAGATAGGGCCCAACAGGGCTGATGCCGATACGGAGCCGCGGAAGACTTAACGGGTTGCCGGGACTCCGGCTCGAAGTGCAGTGTCAGAGTAGGAACGGGGTGGCTTTTAGTCAGTAAGAGTCTGACATTCCCTCTCGCCTCACCCGGGCGGGAGAAGTCATTGGATGATGTTCCCCCGTCAAAAAAGGGGGAAAAAGATGAAGTCAGGATAAACAATCCAATTCTTTAAAGAGTTAGTACTACTATATATATAAATTAATCCCTTTTCCCCTTGGTCACGGCATAACACGTGAATGTCTGGACCGATTTCACTAATTCTTTTTTTGTATATGTAGGTATAATATGTAAAAAAGAAAATCTGTTTAATATTTTAAAGGGGGGAAAATTATCCAATGACATCACTCGCCTTGTGTGAGGCGGAAGACTGTCACGACTCTAACTGATTAAAACCACTTCATTTCTACTCCAGCTTTGAACTAGAGAACCCGTGAAGTTGTCTGCAGATGTGTCAGTTACCGGACGAGCCTGGGGAAGTGCGCGGGCGCGATGAGTCCCTTGCGGGCCAGCTTGGTGCAGCAGGCCAGGTACTGGCGGTACACGTCGCCCGCCTCGCACGCGCTGTTGTCGCCGGCCGGCAGCACTTCGTACGCCGACCGCAGCCACGCTTGGGCGAAGTGTTCGTTCTCCTGCTCAAACAGTTATTTGTGGAGATAACTAATTATTTATTATTATTATTATAATTTTTGAATTCATTTGACATATTATTTACTTACTTAACACATGGAAACCAACATTATTAGTTACACAGCTTGATTAAGAAAAATGTGATATGTGGCAAAATAGGAATTCATATCAACACAACTACACAATACTAGAATTACTAATGATAATAATTGGGTACTTGCCAACCAGTCAAATTCAATACTTTTTTTCGAACTGTCGTCAAGAACGACAATTTTCTAAGAATTTTGTACGAGATTGTGTATTGTGACGTCACATGTTTTTAACGTAAAACAACATACTTATTTGTTAAAAATTAGCTCTGGACATATATGTAATGTATACTAAAATTATGTTGATCATAGAATCAATTAATGAAAGTGTGATTATTTTTAAATATTTTAATGTATTTGAACAGTCGAAATACTTTATTATTGATTAAGGAAAGTATCCAATTAATTACCAAAAGTAGTAGTGCTTTTCTCTGTATACTCACGTGAGTAACCCGCGATTTTTATTTAATAATAATTAATCTATAGGCAACCCGCACAATGCTGCACAAATTTATGTGTTAAGGTAATGGTACTATTAATTTATGATTGAATAAATTATATTGACGTTTAATGTTCAAATACTCAAATACTACACAATAAAGACGCTCTCAAGAACACCTCCGTCACTATAAGTTCTATGTAAAATGACAGAGATAGCATGACATTCAAATCCAACTCAAAATTCAGTAGCATTTCAGTATTCGGGCGTAATTAAGTAAAAACGCGGGTTACTCACGTGAATATACTGAGAAAAGCTCTACTAGTTTCGAACCACAGAGGGGTTCTTCCTCATGAGCAGCGTGCGTGGTCGCGAAACTAGTAGAGCTTTTCTCAGTATATTCACGTGAGTAGCCCGCGTTTTTACTTAATTTAGTATGTCTCACGATAGTTATTATAAAAACATTCGGGCGTAAGTTTGAAACACGTTTTCTAGAAAATACAAAGGTAAGTAGAAGCCGAAAATTAATGTCAAGCAAAGCTATACCTTCTATAAAGAGAAGGCCAAAAGTCCAAATTAAAAGGACACGGTCTATTAATGATGCGGATGATAACAAAATACAAGCAAACGACTAACTACAACTCTAGCGGAACTACTTAGGTACTTGCCAAGCCTAATATTATTAGCACATAGAAATGAAACCTCGTCTAAGTTCAAATAACGAATCCCACTTTAACCCGTCGTGTGTTTAATCCATAAATCCCCAAGCGGTCACCGGTGACCGCTTTCCACTAATATTACATTACATTATAGACCTTATTTCTAATGTTCAGAGAATACTTTTGTATGACCAAATTTAGGGGATATCAACGGGTTAAACGGGGATCCACGCGAGACACAATGTATTCTCTATAGTGTCTTACATACGGACATTCAAGCGATTAATATTTTTACTCACATCGATATAAACCGATGAATTTATTTGTCTGAGAGCGCTAATCTCCGAAACAAATCTTCTTTTGAATTAATATTTTTGTTGGGTCTAAAATATCATACTACGATGAATAGGAGCCGAGCAGTCGGTGAATCTGCGTAGACGTAGCCAATTTATAAATAAATGCAACGCTGCGCCGCGCCGGTTAGATTCGAATGAAGACTTCTCAAGCTTCATTCGATTACAAAACCATTGCCAGTACATCCATCGAAAACCTTATATTTTTTTTAAATTCTCCACATTAGGATTTTCTCCTGTGTTGTGGGTGCGTTTACAAACATAAAAGTTCCGGAACAACAATCTATGGATCACACAAAGAGTTGTTCTGCGTGGCAATTGAAGCTGCGACACGTTACGTGCCAGCTAGTTGCCCAGCTACCGCGCCAAAAGTGCAGTAGTCTAGTCTTTGGATCATTTGAAGTTAGACGAGGTTACAATAGAGCAGTAAAGAGAGTGCAGTAGTTCCCTCACGTCGGCGTCACTCACCTGCACGGTGCGCTGCTGGAGGTGCGACTGCTGCAGACTGGACGCGGGCGCCACGGCCGGCGCCGCGCCGCTCGCCTCGCTGGACTTTGTTGGAGTTTGGCTCTAAAGGAAAAGGTTTATTTTTCTTTGATTTTGAGCTACTTAAATGGATCTTTATGACGTCAGTCTTGGTCAGAATTTCCTTACAAAAGATATTAATATATACATAACTTCACGCCTATCTCCCAATATTGTCGACACCTTGACATCCAGAATTTCAGAACTTCTGTTTCAAATGTTTTAGTATAATTACTTTTTAGTATATTTACATATTTTTTACGTATGTTATTGCAACACGATACGAAATAATAGTACTTATTAATAAAAAAAAAAATCTAAGTAAAAAAACCCTAATTCAAATTCAAATTCAAAATTTTTATTTCAGATACAACATTCATATTTATGTGCGTAGTAGTACAACTTAGCCTAATGTTAGTAAATTATAATAATAATAATGAACATAACTAATAAACATACCGTATGATGTAGTTGCGGCGGCCGATCATGTTGGTCAGTTTGCGCATGCGGGGTGTGTTGCGCAAGTTGCGCATGTTGTTGCGCATGTTGCGCAGGTTGTTGCGCTTGTAATGCGCTGGGACCGCTCACTGTCTCTACTACGCGCATTAATATACATGCGCGGGGACCGTAGCTTTGAGCCTAACAAAAAATACTATGCTTTAACATCTACTTAAACATGACGTCTATACGGAGTGTAGAGATGCCTGCTATAACCATTTTTAATCAGCTTTAAAAAGAAGTAAGTTCTCTAATTGATCTCTATATATGTTTGACTACGATTAGGTAGCTCGCGATGGCCTGAACCGATTCAGATGCGAATTTTAGAAGTGTCTGTTATACTTACGAGCAGGTTTTATATTAACCGACTTCAAAATAAGAAGGTTGAAGTGGGTTTCTTAAACGTAGTTTATTGAAAATTATCGTAAGAATAAAATTGTTATTTTGGGTTTGACACAATTTGCTATTTATTATTTGTTGAAAAATGCACGTACCTCGACAGTAACAAGAGATACGAGCGTATGTATGAGTCCGGGGACCCTGGCCACGGCCTCACTGGCGCGGTCCCCCAGTGACGTCAGCGCGTACACGCACTCCAGCGTACATACCAGCACCATTATATCGCGCAGGCTTAGTAGCGCGCATACGTCTGCGTACACCTGGAAAGCGTCAACAAAGAATCAATAATATGCAAGAATAATCCTACCCCTCATTTGACACAGGTGTGAGGTTATGTTTGTGTGTATTAATATAATGCTACCTTTAGTAAATCCTCCCTCCTCCCCTCATCCTTAATCCCCAAATCCATATTCCTTAATTCCAACCTCAATAAGTTCGGCAGCGCATCGTAACTCCTCTGGTATTACGGGTGTCCATGAGCGGCGCCAATCACAAATGTCTTGTCATAATCCACAATTTCAAGGGAGGTTGGAAACCACATATAAAAACAGTTCAACTTCATCAAAAAGCATTGCTAGCAGTTCCTAAATTGGAGTATGCGACACCCGTTGAAAGGAGCTGGGGTGGTGAAAATAAGAGAACACTGCAGCCTGGTCTCTGTCAAAACATATAGTCACATAGTCTGGGTAAACGACTGCTGCGATAAGAGTGAGGGTGGTGGCATTCTATCCCTTACCTATTTGTTTTTTAAGGGGGTAAAATCATCGATTGCCTTCAGGAGTGTCAGACTCTTACTGATTAAAAACCACCCCGTTTCTACTCCTGCAACTACCCCGTTCCTAGTCCTCCCTTACCTTAGCCTCCAAAGACTTCAACAAGGCATCCTCGTTGAGTTCATTCTGCGCGAGTTTGTTCAGCAACTCCAGCGCCGCCAGTACTCGCGCCCTATCCTGCGACACTAGCGCCGCCTGGATAGTGGATAGCACGTGGCGGGTTATCAGGCACGTTGCCGGGTCCTGGAGGAGAAAATAATATGTATTTAACAAGATGTTGGGTAGCTTTTGGGCAATATATACTTCTATACGACTAAATGATTTTGTATATGTTTCAAATACAAAAGAATGTCAACAACCCTATTGCGTTTGGCAATAAGCCAAATTACTATACAAACATGAGATAAGGTGAGATGTCAAACAATTTCACATGTAAACAGAAAATAACAACATTCAATTTCATACCTTAATAATAAGTTCTGTAGATACATTTCCGAGTGTATCCAGTCCGGACTGACGTAGAGAACCAACCCAACTGTTAGCACACAGCAAGAGGAACCTGAAACGAAGACATCAATTAAATAATGTATGATACTTGATAACCAGTTAAAACCAGTTAAATGTGTTGTAACGTTTTCCGTGCAAAATTTTGTATTTAAATAAGACTAAGCAGGATGACTGCCTTGATGCCTCCCGGTAGGACAAATAACTATGGGGATTTTAAAACAATTCTCAGTGGTAACACAGAGCCTGGAACTGTGCCCAGAATATGGCAATAGGCTCACCCCCTATTACATGAGACTCATAACATAAATAGAGAAAAGTGGGTGTTACATTGTACAGTGGCATTAAGTGCCGTATTGTGCACGTCAGACTACCTCTACGGCCAGGGATAAAAGGCGTGATGTTATGTTATATATGAAGGTTGAGGGACCATCGAAACAAGAAAAATAGGTTTTAGTATTATTAGGTATTCATATCATATTCATATTTAATTAGTTTGTTTTTAATTACCTAAATAATAGCATTTATATATATAAGTTTAACAGTATAACTTAATGGCGTAAGCTGTGGTGTTGTATATGTACATTTTCTAAATAAATAAATAAATAAATAAATATCATTATTTACTTATTTTTTTACTAGCGACCCGCCCCGGCTTCGCACGGGTGCAATATGCATGTATTATACATATAAACCTTCCTTAAGAATCACTCTATCTATTAAAAAAAACCGCATCAAAATCCGTTGCGTAGTTTTAAAGATCTAAGCATACATACGGACATACAGCGAAAGCGACTTTGTTTTATACTATGTATTGATAATAACCTATTTCATTTACTACATTTAATAAAATGTATTCAAAAACCAGAATTTAAGACACTTTAATCATCTTTGTGATATTATGTAAATATTATAAGGGATCCTTATTAAAGACGAAACAATAACTGAAAATCACGGGTTACTCAGAAGAATATTTCAATAGACGTGAGTAGTGCACGATTTTTAGTTAATTTAGTATGTCTCACGATAGTTAATTATAAAAGACGAAACATGTTAACATGTTGACATGTTTTTAATTTTTTTTTATTCATAACATTCATAACATTCATAACATGTTAACATGTTAATATACTTATTAAAATTAACTAACTTACCTGAGAAGAGTGGAATTCTTAGCAAGATATTGAACATTTTCATCGTGGAAGGACAATGACCTCACAATGGAGGCAATCTGTAGCACTCTCTGAGTGTACACACACGAGGCCCCGCCGGGCAACTCCGGGGCGAACAGAAGGTCATCTTCTGATGGATCCGCCATCCAGTCTTCTAAGACGTCCTGGAAACAGAAGATAGTCGGTGTGAATAAGAACTTTTTCTTCTGTATGGGGACAATGAAACCAGCAACTTACAAAAGAAAAAACTGGGTCAGGGGTAAAACTGTTCACGACTGCTTCGTCTAGTTCATCTCATGTGTAAAAGGGCAGACTTTTAGAATCGGTTAATTCTTAACTGTAGAATATGATTGACATTTGACTGTTTTTAGTATAGAAGAAACTTCGATCAACAATAGCAACTAGATAAAGGGTAACGTACAAAATCAAGCTCCAGTTCTGTCCGTGTGAATAATAATAGTAAAAATAGAACAAACAGAGAAAAATGTAAAATAGTTTTAAGTTCAACCTAATAACAACCATGGCACCTAATAATAAAGTCATAAATCGTCAAAATATTATCTAATACTAACGACCATTCGTCATATAAGACGAGAAAAGCATTTTCTTACTCCTGTCATGTAGAAATTAAAAGACATAAGTCATACAATATCTAGTTTGAATTCAACCTTAAAATAGAACAAATAAAGAAAAATTTTCCGTTATTGCTTTGCGATCTATATCGTTTTGTTTTGTTTCGTTTTGCTTTTTCGAATTTCGAATTTCGCTACAGGAGGTATGTATGGAGTCGCGTTGAACACTAAAATAATTTTATAATATGAAAATTAAGATTTCGGAATTTTAGTATACATCAATTATTTTATTAGCGGTACGTTTTTATGTGTGATATTATGTTTATATACTTTATTATTAAAAGTTTAAGTCTAAGTCAAAATCATTTTTTTCAGTTAGACCAGGAAGGCACTTTTGAATGTCAATAATATAAATTTAAAAGTGAACTATTTGCTCATTCCAAGGTGTAGATTCCTATTGAGAAGAACGAGCAAGAAACTCCATAGGTTAGGTACTCTTTTCCAATCAGGTTACAATACAATTTTATTTTACAATACCTACAAATCGACTCCATGCATCCACTGTTCTGTTTAACTCGTCGAGTACCGGTTTTGCAGACACAATTATAGAACAATAGGTTGCGGTCACCGGTGACCGCTTGGTATTTGACAGTTTAAACAAATGTTTGTGCGCGTGTTGGCGATTCTTGGCCAAGGGATCACCAACATACGCACAAACATTGGTAGCGTTGGTTTATAATTGGTAATTTTGTCTAATTTGATATTATTTACTAGTTTAAAAGCTTAAAATAAAACTTATACTTTATGTACTTATCGTAAGTAAGACACTCCGGCCATTATACTGCTTTTTCGGTTATTATTTTTGCAATTTGCAATTACGCACTGCGGCATCGTGAGACGTGAGTACGTTGGCCGTGTTTGGAGCATACTAAACAAAATAAGAGCTCACTTCTCAAGTGAGCTCTTATTTGTCGAGACGATTTTCTTGCGCCGACCCGATATCTAGTTGCTATTGTTGATCGAAGAGAAGAATTGTCAAATATTCAAAGTTATTCCTCGGTTAACATTTATCTGGCGTTGGAAAAATCAGCCCTAACAGTAGTAATATTGCAGTAGTACATGTAAACCCGAGTAATCGAAATGAAGATCCCTCGCCATACGGGATGTATCCTGTCGCCCTCGGTTCTCTACGCGACGGGATACCGGAATGGTTTTTAGTGAATAAGAGTCAGTCTGCAATACACGTTCGTCTTCTTTAAGCAATAAATTAAATATTTAAGCATATGTAGTGTAACAGATTAGGGCTGGATGTTGTCCACAATGAATTCCAGAAACTGAGAAAATTGGCGGGAACACGGAGCTTTTTCAACACACCCTCACTCAGTAAGTTTTGGCGGCGACTGATGGCGCAGGCGCGGAGCCCGCGCGAGCGAAGCGTGGGCGGGGCTTCGATTTTTAAATTTTAGCGCGAACACACCACGTTACCACCATTTTTCTTATCGCACTACGCGCGTTTATACAAAGGAGGTTTTTAACATAGAGTTGCCTATACAAAGGTTTAAGGAGTTTCGTATCGGAAAGGGAATCTTAATTGAAAAAAACAATGACTGTATTACACTTACACCGCTAACATCATCATAGACCTTCTCAACGACCGGTTCTTCTTCTTCAGGCCCACTGAGTAGACAATCAGTAAGTGTATTATACGCTGCCCTGGCCTGAACGATCAGCTCTGGAAGCTCAACTCCTGGCTGCATGAACTTGGTCTCGTCAGCCAATTCCTTGACCCCGCCACCTCCAGCTTTCAAACGCCAGAAGTCATCTGGATATCTTCCTCGAGCCTCGTAGTATGAGCGGCCGATTGTATCGCGAAGACTCGCTGAAAAGGAATTTATTTGTTGTTGGATTTTGTGCTTTAAGGTTTTGTAAAAGAAGTTGTTTTTGGTTGACAGTGGATGCTTGCTTAGTCTTGTTTAAGTATGTTGTTCTTGTAAGGAGACCAATTTACTCATTACATATGAACAAACTTAAGCTTGCATTGCAAACTGATAATTATTACATACAAGAC